GGCTAAATAAGCCCAATTCCCTCAGTCTTTCCTCAGAAGTCATGTGCCCCAGTCCCCTCACCATTTTTGTTGCCCTCCACTGGACTCTCTCCAATTTGTTTGTATTCTTTCTGTAGTAGAGGACCCAAAACTGAACATAGTACTCCAGATGTGGCCTCACCAGTGCTGAATAGAGGGGAATAATCGTTTCCTTTGACCTGCTGGCAGCACTCCTACCAATGCAGCCCAGTATGCCATTAGCCTTCTTGGCAACAAGGGCACACTGTTGGCTTATATTCAGCTTATGACCACTGTAACCCCCCAGATCTTTTTCTGCAGAGCTGCTGCTCAGACAATTGCTTAGACATAAGCTCATATTCAGCTTATTGTCCGCTAGGGGTGTGCAAAACGGGCCATATTCGATTCAGATTCAGCCTGAATTGGGGACAGTGATTTGATCCGTTGATTCAGATCACAGCCCCTAATTCGATTTGGCTGAATCCGAATCTGAAGATTCGATGCTGATTTCAGAGAATCAGAGATTCAACCATAGACACAGCTTTAAATGCTTTCTCTATGTACCTCGAGGTACCAGGCACAGTTCATGAATGCTGAGATGGTGGGGCAGATGGAGCATCCCACAGGAGCACAGCCCCCCCACCCCCCTGGCTGGTGAACCCAGAAGTAATGTGACAGAAAAATGTAAGTGGTGGGTTTAAATTAAAAACCCACTGTTTCAATTTAGGGGGCAGAGAATAAAACCCTGAGGACTAAACCCCTGTCATGTGTACAAGCACCCCACATATACAGTTTGGGGCGGGGGGTGGGGGTGACTTTCTGTAAAAGGAGAGAGAGATTGAGATTGAGCTCTGTGGTAAAATACCACAAGTAAAGATTGCCCTGTAGAGAATTTGCAGCTAGAAAAGAAACTCTCCACATCAGCTTGAGGAAGGTCTGGCTAAGACAACTTTTAGCGAAGGATGGAAGCACAAGCTTTATGAAGGTTACAATGCATTAGTGAGGCTGGGAATTTCCAGCTTTTGTTTAAGCTGCTACTCTAGGGTTACCATATTTCCAGTTCCAAAAAAGAGGACACCTGTTGCATGAGGTGGGGAGGGGAAGGGGTATGTGATTGTGAGGGGCAGTGATATGCCAATGCCCTGCCCCTACCCATTCCACTGCCCCTCACTCCTAAGCAACAGCCTCCCCCCGCCAGCCCTGCTGCTGCCCCTCACTCCCAACCCACAGACCGCTGGTCCTGCCAGTGCCTGTCACTACCAACCCACAGTAGCCTGTCTCCCTGGACCATGCTGGTGCCCCTAACTCCTGACCCGCAGCTCTCTGGCGCCACCAGCACCCCAGACTCCTGACCCATAGTCCCCAACCCCCAATGCCCCTCACTCCCAAACCATAGCCTCCCCAGCCCTGCCGGTGCTCCTCACTCCCGACCCACAGTCCCCTGCTCCGTCCAGCTCTGCAGCATCTCCTGGCTGCCCCACCCATGCAAGCAAGGGCACCAGCCCCAATGCCACTGGCTATGCCACACCACTCCCTGCTGCCCCTGAAGGGATCCCCTGCCCTCTTCCCTCACTGGAGCAGCAGGCACCACCCCACCACCTCCTCCACCCTGCTGCAGCCCCAGTGCCTGGATACCTTCCCATAGCGCTGGCAGGCACTCGCCCCTCCCCCCTACATTTATCTCCTCCACACATCTCTGCACCCC